GCTATTGCATATTCCTTGGAGGAGCACTTGTATCGTGGAGAACTAAGAAACAAGGTACCGTTTCACGTTCCTCGGCCGAATCAGAATATCGGGCCATGGCTTCCATAACATGTGAGCTCACATGGATGCGATATTTACTAAGAGACTTGCATGTTACACACCACAAGTCAGCTCGACTCTATTGTGATAATCAAGCGGCATTTCACATAGCTGCAAATCCGGTGTTTCATGAATGCACCAAACACATTGAGATAGACCATATTGTTCGCGAACGTGTAACATCCCATATCGCCCAAGGGAGTGATCCTTAAATGTATATTCACATCCCTACCTAGCAAGAGGCCTTTTGGGAGCTCACTGGCTTCGGGTTCCGTAGGAACTCCGAAGTTAAGCGAGAAGGAGGCCAGAGCACTCTCAGGATGGGTGACCCACTGGGAAATTGCTCGTGAGTTCCCAAAAACAAAACCGTGAGGGAATGGTAAGCCCAAAGCGGACAATATCGTGCTACGGTAGTGGAACGGGCCCGAGATGTGGTGGACCCGGGCTGGGATGTGACAAATGGTATCAGAGCCAATCCATGGTCGGAAGTGTGCCGACGAGGACGTCGGGCCCCTAAGGGGGGCGGATTGTAACATCCCACATCACCCAGGGGAGTGATCCTTAAATGTATATTCACATCCCTACCTAGCACGAGGCCTTTTGTGAGCTCACTGGCTTCAGGTTCCGTAAGAACTCCGAAGTTAAGAGAGAAGGAGGTCAGAGCACTCTCAAGATGGGTGACCCACTAGGAAGTTGCTCGTGAGTTCCCAAAAACAAAACCGTGAGGGAATGGTAAGCCCAAAGCGGACAATATCGTGCTACGGTAGTGGAACGGGCCCGAGATGTGGTGGACCCAGGCCGGGATGTGACAAATGAATCATGTCAGACACCATTACAACAACACATGTGTCCTCTGCCAATCAACTTGCTGGGATATCTACTAAGCCACTTGGACAAGGAATGTTTCACCCTATACTTGGCAAGTTGGGTGTTCATGACATTCACTCTCCAACTTGAGAGGGAGTATTAACGGAAAGATTGCTTCCTTGATTGTAGGAATATGTAGATTGATTTCATGTATAAATTACCTAGTATGGATAGAAAGTCAACTGTTGTAATCCTATCTATTAGACACCTTCTTGTATACTGATTATTATGAATGAATAACCAAATTCACATAACGCTCAACTTTAAGAGAGAGAGTTCCGTATTTGGAGGACTTCACTTCAACCCATTTTTGAAGTTCTTTAAAGTTGCTTTCAAACAAATCTGAGCCTGGTTTGGAAAGATCTTCAATCTTCTCTCCCGGTTCTGCACCTTCAGGCTTCAGCCTCTGCGGGCTTATCACTCTGCAACAATAATCGGTAAGCTTGTACTCCCCTTAATTGTTAGAGATACATAAATGAAAATATAGGCGATAAAGGAAGTATAGTGACTTCTTGCTCAGCATTCATAGGTATGGAGAAATTATCTCAGAAATTATCTCAGATTAAGAATTACGTATATTCATACCCGCATGGCATTAGTAAAAGCTTTTCTACGAAAAATGGAAGGAAAAAAAAGTTCCTCACAATTTTAAAGTTCAACAATTCACATGCAAGTAAAACCCGAAAGGTCTACTGAAGAAGCTGAAACCAATGACAAAGGCAAGCCTTACGACTATGCCCTTTCAGTCATTTAAAAGCACACCAATCCTAATACATGAAACTGTATTTGGACTGGATTAGTGACATGGCAATAACGATTGGTCGAACATTTATCTTCAACTCACTATTGTTGAATTGTTGATATGACCATTATTAGAATTGTTAGGTATGGCAATAAGGATAGGTTTCAGCTTTAAACGATCATTTAAACCTTATTGCTTTTTTCTTAAAAAAGTCGCATGTGTTTTTTTTTCTTTCAGGCAGAGCGTTCAAGCCAGTAGATCGAGCTTGATAGTAACTAGATTAGTGAACTTTATCTTGGTCGCACAAAAATCTGCACTAAATGCAGTATTTATTAACCTTCAAATAATTATTCCTTTAGATCTTGAAGAAGGTGCGCAAATTACCCAATCCTAACAACAAAAAAACCCTAGATTTGGATGATTGTTGCCTCCAACACACCAATTGTGCTGCAACTTCGCAAACAAACTAGATGAACGAAAAATGGGATGAGCGAGCCACCCGCGCAAAAAGCGCTCCCATAATCCAACTTTAACATCTACCTAACACCAAAGTGTGCCGTTGAGGAGACGCACCTGATGGGCCAAGTAGCGAGATTGGCCGTGGAAGAATGACGATGGGAAGAAACATCTAAGTAAGAGAGGGGCATAGCTTTAAAAAAAATGAGACAAAAGCTCAAAGAACACCAAAAGATAAGGGCCATATTGAAATACAAAAAGGCTAATGCGATAAGAGGGAATGAAATAGTTGGGATTGGCAAGTAAGGGGAGTTTGTTAGACCCCGTTTGAACCTTAACTCATATACACAAAAACAACTGCTATTACTCAAGAACCGTCAATATCTTCAACATACTTTGCCATGCACAAGGACACATTATATAAACTGTTGCAGGCTAAAGACCAAACTAACTTTCTTACAAATATTACACATGGAACAGTAAAATCACATCACAAATGATGAACGTGGCATGTGATGTGGCAAGTGCTTAATAGCATCCTAACATTACCGCTCCCAAAAAATAAACTTGTCCCTCAAGGTTGGAAGTTCAACTCTAGCAAGCAATTCACAGTAATCTCCTAATGCTGAAACAATCAAAACATTAGCAGCAGCTGCATCTATGTTTTCCATATTCCTCTGCTCCCAGTATGCACCCATAAGAGATGCATGGAACTTAACAATTGGCTCCAATTCTATATCCTTCATTTATACTAACAGGCAACAGAAACAAATAGCAATTGATGAGATCCCTTTTAATTGAATGACAAAGGCATTTCTAATCAGCTTCTCTCTCTGCAAACTAGCAACTAATTCTTTACACGTGAAACCATTCCTTATTGCTGAAACCAATCCTTTACTAATTTCATATTTAAAGCTGAAACCGATCCTTATGGCCATACCTAACAATTTTAATAATGATCATATCAACAGTTCAACAATAGTCGTATGGCTTCATTCATCACCCATCCCATCTGCATCATTAAATTAACCACAATCAATTATGGTCTACTGCAGCATTTTCCACCTTCAATTCCCATTAGTACTTCTATAAAACTAACTACTGTTACGGAACTACACTAACTTTACATAAACTTATGCGCAAATGTTTTTCCTTAGCGACTCGAGCCCATTTTTTCTCTTTTATTTGTACTTTACTAATTTCTTATTAAAATAAGGATTGGTTTTAGCTTTAAAGAATAGTAACACTAAAGAGAGATATTTTTCAGTGTGACCGGCACACGAAGTTATACACCACGTGTCACTACACAAATGATGAGATATGTATGTTAAAATGTTAATAACTTAAAAAATAAAATTTCCCACTACTTACATAAAAACACATGGTATACCATCCGTATTCCCGTCACAATAAAAAAAATTTCCACTAAAAAGAGAAATGTTCGACCAATCCTTATTAAAGCTGACACCAGTCCTTTACTAATTTCATATTTAAAGCTGAAACCAATCCTTATTGCCATACCTAAAAATTCTAATAATGATCATATTGTTGTAAATAGTATAAAATGTATGCCCACATGCATACAATAAACATGTCATATGTTTAATAGTGTTTTTGTTTGTTTCCATGGTGATGCTCTATAAATAGAGCTTTACGAATGTTCAACAAAGCAGAGAGAAAAAGGAAGAGAAAAATATCTAATAGTAATAATATACATTACTTCCTCTGCAACAGCTTGTGTTGGTATAATACTCTGCAACTGCTTCGTTCCTGTCCCGAATAAAGGTTATCTCTCTATAACTTTTACATTTTTATAACACGTTATCAGCACGAGTCTCCAAGTATAACCATGTCTCATTTACATTCACTAAACAATAAAGGAAATCATTCTCTCATTTCTCTCCGCCGAACGAAAAAAAAAAAAATGTTTCCTCTAAGGTTTTTCCTGTTCATCTTCTTCATCTGCCTCAACTGCGCAGTATATCCTCGCGACGAACTATTTGCTCCATGCCTGCTCGTAGTTCTCCAACTAGCGGTTACAAACATCTTTGATTACTTGTTTGGTTTGGATATTGATTACTAACATAGTATTTATATTGATTTTACTGCGATCCAAGATGGTGCGGTATCATCGCCTATCTTGGACTGCAGATCTACTTCATTGCAATTTTAGGTGGTGCGGTATAATCGCCCTCCTTGCTCTCCAAATTTAAATTTACCTGTTGTTTAATTTCATTGCAATTTTAGGTGGTGCGGTATAATCGCCCTCCTTGCTCTCCAAATTTAAATTTACTTGTTGTTTAATTTCATTGCAATTTTAGGTGGTGCGGTATAATCGCCCTCCTTGCTCTCCAAATTTAAATTTACCTGTTGTTTAATTTCATTGCAATTTTAGGTGGTGCGATATAATCGCCCTCCTTGCTCTACAAATTTAAATTTACCTGTTGTTTAATTTCATTGCAATTTTAGGTGGTGCGGTATAATCGCCCTCCTTGCTCTCCAAATCTAAATTTTCCTGTTGTTTAATTTCATTGCAATTTTGAGGTGGTGCGGTATAATCGCCCACCCTGCTCTGCGTATTTCAATTTTCTTGCTACTTGAGTGGTGCGGACTAATCGCCCATTCCATGTTACATTCTTTCAATGAGAATGGTGCGGTACAATCGCCCTTCTCATTCACCCTGAAAATCTCGAGCCAGAAGTTTCGAGTGCTTATCATTTTGACCTGAAGATCAAAATGAAAAATTTGTAAGAACCAGAAGTTCTAACATCACATTCCTCTAGGAATACATATTACTGCAAGTTCTTACACATATCATTTTCTTTCAGAAAAGAAAATGACGAACTTGGCTAAGCTTGAATATGCTGCCCTGGACATTACCCGGAAGAATTACCTTACTTGGGTACTTGATACCAAGATCCATCTGGAAGCAGGGAATCTTGGAGATACCATCAGGGAAGAAAACAGCTCATCTTCTCAAAATCGGGCGAAGGCTATGATCTTTATTCGCCGCCATCTTGATGAGGCACTAAAGAGTGAGTACTTAACGGTTGAAGATCCGTTAGCTCTCTGGGAAGCCTTGCGAAGCAGATACAATCACCAGACAACGGTGATTCTTCCAAAAGCTCGCTATGAGTGGTCTCACCTGAGAATTCAGGATTTCAAATCAGTGGCGGAGTACAATTCTGCGTTGTTCAGGATTACCTCTCAGATGAAGCTCTGTGGGGATACCATTACTGATGAAATATTGCTGGAAAAGACTTACAGCACATTTCATGCCAATAACGTGCTCCTGCAGCAGCAGTATAGAGCGCGAGGCTACACTGAATACAACCAGCTGATATCTGTGCTCCTGGTAGCTGAACAGAACAATGAGCTCCTGATGAAAAACCATAATTCCCGACCTACTGGATCTGCACCATTCCCAGAAGTAAATGCTGCTTCCTTCGAAGTGAACGCCACATCCTCTGGTGGTAATTATCATAAACAAGGACGTGGCCACAAACGAGGTCGATGGAATAGGAAATGCAAGAACCATGGTGGTCAGTTTCACAACCAGGTTCAGAGGCATAATTATGGCCCGGGCTTCAAAAATGTGAATCGTCACAAAGGCAAAGCTAACATGACCAATGCTCCCAGGAACTCTGAAGGAGCCTGCCATAAGTGTGGTGGCAATGGGCATTGGGTGCGAACTTGTCGTACCCCAAAACATCTGGTGGAGTTGTATCAAGCTTCCCTCAAGAAGAAAGGTGTCGAGACCAATTTTCTCGACCAGGCTAAACCAATGGATATACCTGATCCAGTGTTTGATTTATCAGGGCAATTTGACGCAACTCACCTAGATGTTTCAGACTTCATTATGGAAAGGGGGAATGAAGTATATCGGTCCGACTAAATCGTTTATGTTTGATGTACTTTTATTATGCTGAACTTGTTGTCTAAAACTAGTTTTTCAGATTCAATAAAAATGGCATGTAAATTTCCTGTTATAAATTGTTTGTTAACTGTGATCCATTGACTCAGAAAGCATGGATAAAAACTGTGGTTATTCTCAGAACATGAGAAATGGCGGAGATATTTGTCTTGCAGACAGTGCAACCACACATTCAATACTTCGTGATCGAAAGTATTTCTCAAGCTTAATGCTTACAAAAGTAGGGGTAACAACAATATCAGGACCTTCAGATGTGATTGAAGGCTCAGGGAAAGCCCAGATTATGTTACCAAATGGAACAATATTGTCCATACAAAATGCATTGTATGCTACTCGATCTACTCGAAATTTGTTGAGTTTCAAAGACATACGTCTAAATGGATACCACATTGAAACGAAAAGTGCAAAAAATGTGGAGTATCTATGCATTACCTCCAATGATACCCAGAAGCGTATATTGGAGAAGTTGCGTGGTTTTTCGAGTGGATTATATTATACATACATAAGGACAGTTGAATCACATACTATCATGAACCAGAAGTTCATTGATTCAAAGGTTTACATGCTTTGGCATGACCGTCTGGGTCATCCAGGATCCACCATGATGCGTAGGATCATTACCAACTCTAATGGACATCCATTATTGAGCAGAGACATTGCTATCTCAAATGATAACCCTTGCAAGGCTTGTTCTCAAGGGAAGTTGGTAATTAGACCATCACAACTAAAGGTTGATGCTGAATCCCCATCATTTCTACAAAGAATTCAAGGGGATATCTGTGGACCTATTCAACCATCTTGTGGACCATTTCGATATTTTATGGTTTTGGTTGATGCATCCACCAGATGGTCACATGTTTGTCTCTTGTCTACTCGGAATGTAGCTTTTGCGAGACTTCTTGCTCAAATAACTAAGTTACGAGCACAATTCCCAGATTATCCCATTAAATCAATCCGACTTGATAACGCTGGTGAATTTACATCTCAAACCTTTGATGATTACTGCATGACATTGGGCATTGATGTTGAACACCCTGTTCCTCATGTCCATACTCAAAATGGTTTAGCAGAAACATTGATCAAGCGGCTTCAGTTAATAGCCCGCACTCTGATTATGAAAACCAAATTGCCAGTTTCTGCATGGGGACATGCCATTCTACATGCTGCATCATTGGTTCGATTGAGACCTATAGCCAACCACCAATACTCCTCAATACAACTCGTGTTTGGACATCAGCCAAACATTTCACATTTACGAGTTTTTGGTTGTGCTGTTTATGTGCCTATTATACCCCCGCAACGCACTAAAATGGAACCTCAGCGTAGACTGGGAATTTATGTGGGTTTTGATTCACCATCTATTATTAGATATTTGGAACCCTTGACAAGTGATATGTTTACAGCTCGTTTTGCTGATTGTCATTTTGATGAGACAGTCTTCCCATCGTTAGGGGGAGAAAAGACCGTTCCAGAAGAACGGAAAGAGCTGACATGGGTTGTTCCCACCTTGTCTCATTTTGATCCTCGAACCATTCAATGTGAAATTGAAGTGAAAATGATCGTTCATCTTCAAAGCGTTGCCAATCAAATGCCAGATGCATTTAATGACGTTATGAAAGTGACAAAATCGCATATACCAGCTGCAAATGCACCTGCCAGAATTGATGTCCCTGTTGGACAAAATAAAGTGGCAGCGAATGATTCATCTGGTGCACGCTTGAAGCATGGTAGACCACTAGGTTCAAAAGATTCAGCCCCTCGAAAGAGAAAGACGAGGGCACAACTGAATCCAAATGAAATCATTCAGGAAGAGAGAGTAAATGACAAATCCACAATTCATGACTCTGGACTTCCAGAAGAAGAAAATGGCCCTGAAGAGACAGAAGTACATGAAAGCAAAGAAATCTCCATAAATTATGCATGTACTAATGAATTGTGGGATCGGAATGAAATAATCATTGACGATGTTTGCATTCGCAGTAGCCACTGAAATCATATTAAGTGATGATATTGAGCCCCGCTCTGTTGATGAATGCAAACAGAGACAAGATTGGCCTAAGTGGAAAGATGCAATCTAGGCAGAATTAAATTCCTTGGAAAGGCGAAGTGTTTTTGGACCAGTAGTCCAAACCCCAACTGATGTAAACCCCGTAGGTTACAAATAGGTATTTACAAGGAAACGCAATGAGAAAAACGAGATTGCTAGATACAAAGCACGACTCGTTGCACAAGGCTTTTCACAAAGACCTGGAATTGATTATGAGGAGACATACTCTCCTGTAATTGACACAATTACGTTCCGTTACTTAATAAGTTTGGTGATTTCAGAAAAACTTGACATGCGACTTATGGATGTCATCGCCGCGTATCTATATGGAAAATTAGATACTGACATATATATGAAAGTCCCAGAATGACTTAAGTTGCCTGAAGCAACAAACAAACCACGGGGTATGTTCTCAATCAAATTAAGGCGATCACTATATGGGCTGAAACAATCTGGGCGAATGTGGTATAATCGTCTTAGTGAGTATTTGATTAAAGAAGGATATATCAACAATGTTATCTGCCCTTGTGTGTTCATTAAGAAATCCAACTCTGGATTTGATATAGTGGCAATATATGTTGATGATATGAACTTAGTTGGGACTCCTGAAGAGCTCCATAAAACTGCTGAATATCTGAAAAGCGAATTTGAAATGAAAGACCTTGGGAAAACCAAATATTGTCTAGGCCTGCAGATCGAGCATTGTGTTAGTGGAATTTTGGTCCATCAATCAGCTTACATTGAAAAAATACTGAAGCGATTTGGCATGGACAAGGTTTATCCACTTAGCACCCCAATGGTCGTTCGTTCTTTAGACATTAAGAAAGATCCATTCCGTCCAAAGGAAGATGATGAACTGGTCCTTGGTCCAGAAGTACCATATTTGAGCGTAATAGGTGCTTTATTGTATTTAGCACAATGTACTAGACCAGATATAGCTTTTTCAGTTAACTTGTTAGCCAGGTACAGCTCTGCTCCAACAATTCGTCATTGGAAGGGAGTCAAAGATGTTTTACGATACCTTCGTGGGACAACAGATATGGGTCTCTTCTACTCAGACAAGCCCACAAATGAACAAATCTTTGTTGGATACGCAGATGCTGGTTTTCTCTCCGATCCGCATAAAGCCCGCTCACAAAATGGATATGTGTTCACTAATGGAGATACTGCAATTTCATGGCGATCAACGAAGCAAACGCTAGTTGCAACATCTTCCAATCATTCGGAAATAATTGCTCTACATGAAGCAAGTCGTGAATGTTCTTAGTTAAGATCAATGATCCATCACATCCGGAATTCATGTGGTCTACCTTCAAAGACAGACACTACAACTGTCATCCATGAAGATAATGCAGCCTGTGTCGCCCAGATGAAGGAAGGATTTATCAAAGGTGATAAGACTAAACACATATCTCTAAGATTTTTCAGCGCACATGAGCTTCAGAAGGCTAAAGTTATTGAAGTCAGACAAATCCGTTCCAATGAAAATTTAGCAGACTTGTTCACCAAATCTCTACCAAAGTGCATATTTCAGAAGCTGGTGCAGGGAATCGGATTACGTCGGCTTACAAATTTGAAGAATGCAGAATCAGTGGGAGATCCAATTCAGGGGGAGCATCCATGATACATGCATGTTGTACTCTTTTTCCTTCGCTTAGGATTTTTCCCACTGGGTTTTTCCTATCAAGGTTTTAACGAGGCAACATAAGCATGCTCAACACCATCCGGATAAAGTTGTACTCTTTTTCCTTCGCTATGTTTTTTTTTCCCACAGGGTTTTTCCGAGCAAGGTTTTAATGAGGCAACTGATGTTGATATGTGGGCATCCAAGGGGGAGTGTTGTAAATAGTATAAAATGTATGCCCACATGCATACAGTAAACATGTCATATGTTTAACAGTGTTTTTGTTTGTTTCCATGGTGATGCTCTATAAATAGAGCTTTACGAATGTTCAACAAAGCAGAGAGAAAAAGGAAGAGAAAAATATCTAATAGTAATAATATACATTACTTCCTCTGCAACAGCTTGTGTTGGTATAATACTCTGCAACTGCTTCGTTTCTGTCCCGAATAAATGTTATCTCTCTATAACTTTTACATTTTTATAACACATATCAACAATTCAACAATAGTCGTAAGGCTTCATTCATCACCCATCCCATCTGCATTAAATTAACCACAATCAATTATGGTCAACTGTAGCATTTTCCACCTTCAATTCCCATTAGTACTTGTATAAAACTAACTACTGTTATGGATCACTACACTAACTATACATGCCAGTTGGTCGAGCATTTAGCGACTTTTTTTAAGAAAAAAGCAATAAGGTTTAATGACAAGCACTACTATAATACCCTTTTGGTCTATCATATTTAAGAAAAAAGCAATACGGTTTTAAGTAATGGTTTGTGATTTAAGTATCCATAACAGTGTAGTGATTCAATACACAACAACAGGGCCGGTCTAGAGATTTTTTAGGCTCGGGACGACGCCAAAAAATATTCTCACTTTATATAAGAAAATTATTTGTTTTCACACGTAGGACATCGATAAAATTATACTTAATTAGAAAAGCACTTCAAACTTAATAATTTAGAAACACGGAAAAACTAATTTATTTTGTATCGTGAGAAGGAAACAAAAAAAAAACTCCGGACTTATAAGTAGATAGATATGAGTTTTGTTTTCCATCTGAACTTTTAAAGTGTTTTTGTATAAATTGTGAGGTGTTTTTTCTTATTTACTAACCTTATCAATATGGGACTAAAAAAATAATGATGTTTTTGAGTCTTTAATTGATATGTATAAGTAATAAATGGGTACTAAATTAAATTTTTTGATGACATGTCATATGATTTGCAAATTTGGTCTAAAAATTTGGTCAACGCATTACTCTTTATTGAATATTAGACTT